CTACAAGACACAAGAATACCTATTTTAAGACTAATTGGTACTAAGGAAGGTCAAGAAATGCAGCTTATGGAATAGGAAGGATAAATCCTAGCCAAGAACTCCCCAAATATGCAAAAGGATAGACACATCCAGATAAAAAAAAAGCCTTTAAAACCCCAAACAGTGACTGGGAAGGTGGCTAAGTGGTAGAGTGCTTGCCTTGCATGCATGAGGCCCTGGGTTAGATTCCTCAGCAACACATAAACAGAAAAAGCCAGAAGTGACACTATGACTGAAGTGGTAAAGTGCTAGATTTGAGCTGAAGAGCTGAGGGACAGAGCCTAGGCCCAGAGTTCAGGCCCCACAACTGACAAAAACAAATAAACAGACCAGACTAGAACAGGACATCCTACTGCTACATTTTAATCTGCACAGGATCAGTAGAGACCAAGGAAAGGATCCTTAAAGTCATCAAGGAAAAGAGATCAATTACCTATAGAGTAAAACCAATCAGAATAACTACAGATTTGTCAGCAGAAACCATAAAAGCAAGGAGAGCCCAGAATTAGGTATAACATGCCCCAAAACAAAAATCAACCCAATATAGTGTACCCAGCTAAACTTTCCTTCATAACTAAGGTACAAATAAAAATTTTCCACAGCAAAGAAAAATTGGAATATATCTCCACTGAACCAGAAGAAGAGACAACGAAGTTCGTTATATACTAATAACTAGATCTCGCCTATGGGAGGATATAACAATCCAAAATGTCATCAAACAAACACTACTTACCCTAAAAACATATAGAGATCCAAATGCATTGATTGTTGATGACGTTAACACACAACTGCCTCCTCTGAATAAGACCACACAGCAAAAACTCCACAGAGAAACTTCAGAACTAAACAATTGCATAGACAAACAAGACTTAACAGACGTCTGCAGAATATTTTACTCAGTAACATCAGAATATATGTTCTTCTCAGTAGCACATGGAACTTTCTACAGAATAGACCACATCTTAGGCCAAAGCAAATCTGTGCAAATTCAGAAATACTGAAATTGTTCCCTGCATTCTTTCAGAATACACTGGAATAAAATTAGACCTCAACTTCAAAATACACCATAGAAAATCCTGTAATGCTTGGGAACTGAACAACACATTGTTGAGTCACCAGTGAGCTATTGAAGGCATCAGAATGGAAATTCAAACATTTATGAAATTTAACAAAAATGAAAACACAAAATACACTCTCTTCTGGTACACAGCAAAGGCAATACTCAGAGGAAAATGTGTAGCTCTGGAAACCTACATCAGCAAATTGAAGAAATCTCAGACCAAAAATTTAATGATATACCTTAGGCTCCTTGAAAAAGAGCAATAACCCAGACTCCAATCCAGTAGACAGAAACAAATAATTAAAATTAGCTCAGAATTAAATGAATTAAGAGTCCAAACAAACCCTAAAAAATCAACAAAGCAAAAAGTTGGTTCTTTGACAAAATTAACAAAATTGACAGACCCTTAACAAATCTTACCAAAAATAGAACATATTGAAATAAATAAAATCAGAAATGAGAATGGAAACATCCTGACATATACAAGCAAGGTTCAGAACATTATAAGGGAATACCTTTATGCTAACAATTTTGAGATCTGGAAAAAATTGGAAGAATTTCTTGCAAATATTATTTTATACAAACCAAACAAAGAAGATTTAATCCAACTAAACAACTCATTTAAGTAATGAAAAAGAAATAGCAATAAGAGACCTTCTATTCAAAAAAGCCAAGGTCAAGATGGTCCAAATTCTATAAAGCCTTTAAGGGAGAACTCACTTCAATACTCATCAACTTCAATGAAATTGACAGTGAAAATTCACTACCAAACTAATTCTATGAAGTCAGCAAACCCTCGTCCCCAAACCAGATAGGGACCCATCAAAGACAAATAACTTTGATGAAAACCTATGCCGCACATCTCAGTAAAACTGGCCAGCCCACTTCAATAACTCATCAACAAAATTATACACTATAGTCAAAAAAGATTCTTTCCAGAGAGACAAAGCTGGTTCAGTATACACAAGTCAATTAATGTAATTCAACACATCAGTAAGAGCAAGGACAAAAAAACACATGGTTATCACCACAGATGCAGAACAAGCATTTGACAAGATCCAACATCCCTTTCTGATGAAAGCTCTGGAGAAACTAAGAATCCGTGGAACATTATTTAGTATAATAAAGTCTGTATATGACAAACCTATATCTACTATTAAACTTAATGGTGAAAAGTAAAAACCATTTCCTCTAAAAATAGGAATGAGACAAGAATGTCTGGTCTCTCCATTTTTTTTTCAAAATAGTATTGGAATTTCTAGTTAGGGCAATAAGGCAATAGGCAAATATAAAAGGGATCCAAATAGAGAAAGAAGTAAAACTCTCACTTTTATAGATGACATGATCTTGTATTTAAAGAACTCCACAGACTCCATTCTGAAGTTACACAAGTTAATGTGAAACTTTAAGAAATTAACAGGGTATAAAGTTAATCCATAAATATCAATAGTTTTTCTGTATGCTAACAATGAGAAGAGCAAAGCTGAAAGCAGGAAAACAAGTCCTTTTGTAATAGTCTTAAAACAATCACCTAGGAATTAGTTGACCAAAGATATGAAGTACCTCTATAATGAAAACTTTGAAAATCTGAAAAAAGAAATTAGATTCAAGAAAGTGGAAAAATACTTCTATGCTCCTGGATTGGGAGCATTAACATAGTGAAAATGGCTATAATGCAAGTAGATATCTAAAAATTCAATACAATACTCATCAATATCTCAACATCCTTTTTTTTAATGAAATAGAAGGAACAATAAAAAATTCATATGGAATAATAGAAGATCCTAATACCAAGAACAATCTTTAGCAGGAAGAACAGTGCTGGAGGAATATCAATAACAACTTTCAACTCTATTACAAAGCCAGAGTAATAAAAAACAACTTAGTACTGGCACACTAACAGGCCTGAGGACAAATTCCACAGACCTATGGCCATCTAATCTTTTATAAGGGAACAACAACAAGAACAACAACAACAACAAAAACAGGGTGGAAGAAAGACAGCCTCTTGTACAAATGATGCTGACAGAATTGGCTATAGACTTATAGAGAATTGATGATAATTTATATATCACCCTCCATCAGAGTCAATTCCAAATGGATCAAGAACCTCAATATAAGATCAGATAGCAGGAAAATATTACAGGACAGAATAGGGAAAACTCTAGGGTACGTTGGCAAAGGTCAAAACTTCATTAATAAAGACCAAGAAACAGAACAAATATAAGAAAGGCTTGATAAATGCCTCTGTACCTCTTAATATCAATAGCAAACCCCAGCTAGAAATTACCCCAGCTAGAATGATCATTGTCAAGAAATACAATAGTAACAGATTCAGAAGATGTGGTCAAAAGGGAAATCTACTGCACTGTGGGTCAGAGTGTAACCACTCTGGAATGCAGTATGGAGGTTCCTCAAAAAACTAAACATAGAGCTCCTCTATGACTCAGCAATCCTACACCTGGGCATTTACCCAAATGAACACAAACAAGGCTATACTAAAGCTACCGGCACAACTACATTCATTGCAACATTATTTAACATAGCTATGATATATATATATATATGTATATCATACATGTGATATGTATACATATATATAATATTGATATATATCATATATGATATATACATGTGATGTAAATGTATATATAATATATATACATATATATGTGTATGTATATATATATATATATATATTCACACACACAATGGAGTTCTATGCTTCCATCAGAAAGAATGACATTGTCCTTTGGTAAGGAAATGGAAAGGCCTGGAAAAAATTATATTAAGCAAAACAAGCTAGGCCCTAAGAAATGTTGGTTGCATGATTTCCTTCATTTTTAATAATTAGAATATGTCTATGATATTTTTAGCAGAGGATCACAATAGCCAAATTGCTAAGTGCCTAAGGCCATATATAATGAAGCACATTGAAAAGAACTCCAAGAATTGGAAACAAGAGGTTCTTACTATGCCCTGTATTCATTATTTCATTTTTTTCTGTTTTGGATTGTTGTACCCTTTTTGTTGTATATGTTTATCTGATCCATGGAAGGGAAAGAGAATCACAGAAACAGCAGGACAAAGGATGAACTAATGCAGCAAAGATACTCACTAGACATTATATCACAAATGAACTTCACAACTTGGGGTGTAGAGGAGTGGGGAGGGGAAAGTTGGAGAAAATAAGGGAGCTGGTTACAGTGTTCAAAAAGAAACGTACTCATAAATTTACTTGTGTAATTGGAACCTCCCTCTTCATCACTTTTTCAATAAATAATTTTTAAAAAACCTGTTAAAAGGATATTGTGAACACATAATTTCAGTATCTGTTTAAAGTAAAATGGCCATGGGCATTTGAGAGTCCTAAATACATATGTGATAGTTCATAAACCATTTATATATTTTATTTATTTATTATTTTTTATTTTTTTATTTTTGTCAGTTGTGGGGCTTGAACTCTGGGCCTGGGCACTGTCCCTCAGTTCTTCAGCTCAAGGCGAGTGCTCTACCACTTGAGCTACAGAGTCACTTCCGGTTTTCTGGTAGTTTATTGGAGATAGGAGTCTCACGGTCTCTCCTGCCTGGGCTGGCTTTGAACCGTGATCCTCAGATCTCAGCCTCCTGAGTAGCTAGGATTGCAGGCGTGAGCCACCAGCGCCCGCATCCATTTATCTATTTATAAACCCATGTTTATGTAAGGTATAGGCTTATTATAAAAATAATTATACCAGTAGGAGATGTTGCTTAAGTATATTTTAAAGGCTAAAAGAGCATTATAAAATTTCATATATAAATATATATATATATATACCTTTTGCTTCAGTTTTGTAATGATTAATTGTATTTATCATTATGATATTAAAGATTTTGACTACTTCTTTTTTAATTCCAGCAGGAAAAAAGTCAAGAAAGTCCAAGAATAGAAGGTAAGAGATGAATACTTCAAATAATTGTTGTATGTACTTATAAAAGTAAAACTAATGTTACTTTCATAATAAAATTTAGAGTAAATGTTTAAAATTAAATATCTTTAAAGAGATGTTTCAAAGCCATTCTCACCCTCTGGTTACTTCTTACAGTCTTTCTCTACTGATACTTTGTTTTTATATGCTGCTTTATAAAACTTCAGCACAATTTCTATTTGTGTGCTTTTTTCTTTCTTACTTACTGTCAGTCTTGGGGCTTGAACTCAGGGCCTGGAGGCTGTATCCCTAAATGTTTGCTCTAAGATTCTCAAGGACTTTCCTGCCTGGGCTGGCATTGATCCATGATATCCAGTTCTCAGCCTCCTGAGTAACTAGGATTACATGCTTGAGACACCAGTGCTGACTCTACAATTTTCTATTTATTCTCTGTATGTTCTGACTTAATTGATTTTCCAAATATTGTGCATAAAATTTGTACTCAGTCCCATCAATAAATCAGATTCTATCACTTAAAATACATCTCATTGAAAAAACAATATTTAACTTCTGCCATCTCACTATTTTTGATCCAAAGACTTTCAATTTTATTTATGCATTAAAGGTGGTTATGACTCTGAGTACATAGTAGTGATTTGTAGTAAGACAACAGATGATTATTTTCTTGAAAGATATATTCCATACTACCCAGTGTGTTTACTTGTAGATTGTGTACACATTCTAGTTACAACAAATGCGGGAAAACATGCAACCTATGTTTTTTCGGGGTCTGGATTACTTCGTTTAATACAATTTTTTCTAAGGCTTTCTATTTCCTTATAGAATGGTAGAATTTCATTGTGTATAGATACCACATTTTCTTGATCCATTCATCCACTGAGGGGCATCTAGGTTGATTGCATATCTTGACTATGGTAAATAATGCTGTAATGAACATGGTTGGTCTGAGAGGTTTAGTGTGTCCTTGTTTGTGTTCTACTGAATAAATACCCATGAGTGGAAGTGTTGGGTCATAGGGAATGTATGGACATGGTAAATTATATAGGACTCTCGACAGTTACACAGTGACACTAAAGGAGGATATTCTTGAAAGAATATCATCAAAGCTCAATAGCATTGTGTATATGTTTCTATAAATATCAAAATGAACCCCAAGAAGTAAAAGCAAGAGGCTGTTTTGTTATTTTGTTTTCCTCCTTTGTTGCTGCTTTTTATTCTGTGCCTTTTGTCTTGTATGTCTATGTGTTTTGGGGAGTGTAAGGTGAGAGCACAAAAACAGTGTGATAAAGATTGAACAAATGTAGCAGTGATAGTAGACACTTTTGAAAATGAAATATACAACTTGGGTGAGAGAGGGAAAAAACAGGAGAAAGTGAGGGAAAGGGTAACACTATTCAAAAAATGTATTTATTTTCTGACTTATATAACTGTCACCCCTGTGTACCTCACCTTTACAATAACAATAAAATATAAAAATATATAAATAATGTTAGAAAGATACATTCAGAGTTTTGAACTTTATTTAGTGGGGTAATAACTTACATAGATCAACTGTTCTTATTCACAAATGGACTCAACTGTTTTGTTGTTTATTAGAATGAACAATACAATATAATGGCAGAAATTAGACTTTGAACAGGTGCCACATCTCACTGGATGTGGCATATATAATGAAAACAACTATCAGATTTTCTTGGGTTGGTTCTTTGGGCTTCTCTGAGAACATTTTATGCCTTTCTTCTTTCATTTCCTTTCCCAAAACCATACCAGCCCAGGGCTTACTGAGAGTGAAGAACGATTATGCTGTTTCATTCAATACCTTTTTCACAGGAAGATATATTTTCTAATAGATATTTTTTGAAATATCTATAAAGCTAAAATACCATATTTATTTTATTTTATTTTTTGTCGGTCATGGGGTCTGAACTCTGGGCCTGGACGCTGTCCCTCAGCTCTTCACCTTAAAGCCAGCACTCTATCACTTGAGTCACAGGACCACATCCAGCTTTTTTTGTTTATGTGGTGCTGAGGAATAGAATGCAGGGCCTCATGCATGTAAGGCCAGCACTCTACAACCAAGCCACCTTCCAACCCCCTAAAATACCTAATTTTTACAGAAAATATTTCATGTGTTTCAGAAATACCAACTATAATTCTGAATATGTTGAGATTGCTGATATTCTGTCATAATAATGAAGACAAACTCAGCATGTGAAGATTCACACAGTATTATTTTCCTGGTATACTTCTCTGTATGTCTGCTATCTTACTAAAGAATAAAAAGATACTTGTGTGTGTCTTTTTTTACACTGTGATATATATAATCTTGTACAAGGGAGTTGCCATGTATTGAAGCAGTTTATGAATATATTTTGATCAATGTCACCCCTTTCAATATTCTCACCTGTATGTCCCTTACCAACCCTATACTTCAGTCTTCTTAATATTGTATAGTATACATTAAACTTCTATTTTACTGCATTCTCCTCCTCTTCATCTATGGGACATATTTTGCTCAAATGAATTATGAAAGACTCCCCTCCAGGGATTTCTCAATATTTGTGTTTATTTAAAGCAAACTAAAATGGCTTTCATATGTGAAATTATTACATATATTTATTTCAGAAAAAGTTCAAAGTTATGGTATTTGTGCTGCTAAACAGAGTTTTTATCCCAAGATATGCCATGTACAGTGCATGTAAATCACATATGAATTTCATATATACTGGATAAACACATTTCAATCTCACGATAAAACTAAGTGTTTCAGGTTAATCTTAAATTATATTTGGAACACTGTTACAGTAGAATAAATTTAAGGTAGCTTTCTTCTTGAGGCTTTATTGCCTTGAACTATATGAAACACATTATATAAAGTAGTAGAAATTATGTTTTCCAACAACTGTCTATGAACATATTTCTTTTTTAATATAATAAAAGTTTTGAGATATATTTTCTAGTTCTTTTTCTGTTATTTAAAACAAGCTTCAGTATGTCTCTGCATTATAGCTGCTAACTTTCTTTTTAATTAAGCAGATTTATGTGGTTAGATCAATACTTGTTACTTATTTCTAGTAAGAGTTCTACAGTTTCCTTGACTATAGAAATCATTTTGAATGATCCTTTCATTTTTCTTTTCACACAACATTTAAAAATTATTTTAAAGTAGTTTCACAAAGGAGTATGCGAAAATGTCAACTGAAAATGTCAAATGAAACGAAAAACTTAAGCCATTGAGGCAATAGCATACTGATTAGTCATGAAAGTACTGGGAGTGAGTATTTCATATTTTTTAGACTGTTGAAGTCTAACCTATGTCCTTAAATGATTTTATGAACTATTCTAAGCTCATTTTTCTATTGGCTTCCTAATTGTTTACCTCATTCCTCAGTACATATTTGTAGTCAGAAATATATTCAGAATTTGTTATTTTTCTAAGTCCTTGCTTTCTAAGTATCTCTCATTACTTTGTAACTTTTCTTCTTTTTCTTTTCTTTTTTTCTCGGTTGTGGGGCTTGAACTCTGGGCCTGGATGCTGTCTCTCACCTATTCAGCTCAAGGCTAGCACTCTACCACCTGAGCCACAGTGTCACTTCCGGTTTTCTGAGTGGTTTATTGGAGCTAAGAATCTCACGGACTTTCCTGTCTGGGCTGGCTTTGAAATCCATTCTCAGATATCAGCCTCCTAAGGAGCTATGATAATAGGTGTGTGCCACTGGTGCCTGGCACTACTTTGTAACTTTATGAATAAGAAAAAAAACATAAAAGTGTGACTTAATTATGGTCTAGAGGCCATATCTAACTTGTTAAATAATTACTTGTCATCTCTGATAAGTAATATAAAGCATCTAGATACTAGTTCCTCTTTTATCTCAAAAGAAGAATTTAGTTAGTACAACATGCCCCATTTTATTAAGTCTCTCACATATCTGAAATTCTAGAACTTCTAATTCAGTCAGGCATTGGAACATATGTGTGTGTGTGTGTGTGTGTGTGTGTGTGTGTGTGTAACGTGGGCACTGTCTTTGAACTGTTTTGCTCGAGACTAGTGCTTTACCATTTGAAGCACAGTTCTATTATTGGCTTTTTATGGCTAATTGGAAATAAGAGTCTCAGACAATTCTGGTCCTATCTGGGCTGCTTTTGAACCACAATTCTCAGATTTCAGTCCCCTGAGTAACTAGGATTACAAGTGTTATCTACTGGCACTAGGTAGAACAATGGTACTGGTTTGTTTTTTTTTTTTACTTTTATTGTCAAGGTGATGTACAGATGGGTTACAGTTACATAAGTAACGTAGTGAGTACATTTCTTGTCAAAGTTGTTACCCCCTCCCTCTTAAGCATATATATTGCCTTTCTCCTTTATTACTTGTGTCACAAATTAATAGTGGATAACAATGCAAAGTATCTGATACCTTTGAATAATGTATATAGATAATATATATGGATTTGAAGGTTGAAGTACTAATTTTTTTATGAAGTTTGTCAAATGTTGAGATCTTATATGAGTGTGATTACACAAAGGATCTACATTTCATTGACTTTTTCCAAGTCTCTCAACTAGTTAGGCATTGTGATTAGAAACAATGATTGGCCATATTACATTATTTAATAAAATAACTGAAAGGTATTCATGTATATGAACTCTATGTGTAACTCTCAGCCAATTGTTGAATATCTTTATGTGTATAAGATACATATCAATAATGTCCTCAATTATAACTAGTCTTGAGTTTATGACATACAGAATCACCAAATGTTGCAATAATATGTATTATTGAGAACATCATATTCTTTGATTTCAAAATTGGAAAGCTAATGCTAAGACTAAAAATTATATGAAGCATTTTAGCCACTGTGAATTTTGCATATAATATTCGAGAATTATAATTGTTAGGGTACTGAATTACCAGAAAGACAATTTACACCTAACATATATAAACCAATAATTGCTTAGTTTATTCTCTGTTTGTTATTTAGCAAATAATTGTACGTGAATTT